GTTTGCAGACAAGAGCCACACAGGGGTATCCACAGGAAGGCGGGCAGAGGTCGGGTAGGGTGGAGCTGGGTTCCCACATTTCTGTGCCTGGGATTTTGATATTTGGTGATGTCTCGGTTGGTGAGGGCAGGGAAATATCTGTTCCATGTTATCAATGAATCGAGCAGGCGTCTCCAAGCCCGACTTCATACACTAGCTCAGCATTGTCCAATCCAGCCATCTGCACTGTCCAAGGCAGTAGCCACTGGCCATGTGGCTGTTGAGCACTTGAAATGTGACCAGTGCAAAGGAGCAGGTGACTTTTACATTTTATTAATTGATTTCAATTTCAAAGTAAATGATCGCATGTGGCTAGTGGCTCAATCCTGGACAGCACAGCCCACAACTGACAGCATCTGCAATTAGCTACTCTCATTCATTCTCCAGGGAGCCTGGCGCTGTGCCACACCCAGTGGAGGTGACTGGTTGATTTGAAATTCCTAAAAAGGACGCAGTGGTCCCGGATTCTGAGCTGGCTTCCTACAACCTCCCTTATGCGCTGATGGTTATCGTGGCTGTTTCCTGCCTTCTCTTTAGCTATGGACCAGTGAGGCTTCCAGTCCACAGAGCATTTGTTGGATTATTTAGGATTTAATCTCCAAGGCTACCATCCAGTCTTGGGGTGGAGTGTGGCCAACTCCACACTGGTGGTCAGGCTTACAATGGGTTTTTAAAACCAAATGACCATAGTTCCGGGTTACAGCTACCCTGCCAAAACTGAGCACTGCTCAAGCCTGTGTGCCGGATACTTGACAATGAACTTGGCTGCAGAATCCAAAAAAGTTCAGGCCTTGACACTTTTCCTCTGAGCTCTGAAGATGCAATTATTTCTCCTCCACAAACTCATCTCTATAGCAGGGCCGAAGGAGGCTGGCTTATTCTCTCCGTCAATGACTCGTTCTTATAATGCTTTTGAGTTTTGCAATGTGCCCTTAGTGTGGTCTAAATGGTGCGACCTCGGCCACACTGGATGCTGGATGCTGCTTCTTATGGGGAGACGTCATCAATGATAAAAGCTGAAATGTATAGTTGTCGTTACGTGTAAAACATCATGACCCTCAACACCACTAGGAAGTAGATCTCATTATTATGCCCATTTTACAGGTGAGGAAACTGAGGCACAGATAAGTCACCCCAAGACACAGCTAGGACTAAGTCAGAGTGGAAGCTGGGAGACAAGAGTAGCACAGTGATCGAGGAAACCCTGAGTCCAGAGCCGAAGCAGAGTCACGTCTAGTCTGGTTGATGTCAGTGTTCCAGGGGTCCAGGGTGACAGGCAGGAAGTGGGGTGGAGCTTCAGGGCCGTGGTGCTTTTCAGGAGGTCCTGCTGGACATCTGAGGATGCAGGGAGTAGCGCCAAGACCCAGGGAGATGGAGGAGAGGCTGGCTTGGCTTCCCTGACTGCCTGGCATTGGGCTTTGGTTCCTGGAGCAGGGACTGCTTTCCAGGGACTCATGGAGAAGGCTGGGGGAGGCTAAAAGGAGGATCTTGTGGGTACCTCTTTCCAAGACTCCCCAAATGCCAGGTGTATGAGTGACTGACTTTCCCCGACACCACAAGCTAGTGGGGAGGGTCACTGACATTCCTTCGGGCCCAGCTCCCACCCACTGAGGTTGCAAGTGATGCTGCCCGGTATTGCGGCTTGGCAGGGGCCGGCACACTCCCAGTCCACAGACCTGTCACACTGAATGCTATAAGTCAGTTTCCTGAGACAGAGATTCGTGTACAAGAGATTGATCGAAGGAGTGCTCTCCGGGAAAACACCTGTTAGAAAGGAGGGAGGACTAATTCTCTGCAGAAGAGGACAGATGTGGGCCATTCACAACCACTCCTCTCAGCAGCTGAGGGCTGGTGCCTGGGAGTGGGGCACCAACATCACAATGGGCCCATTTGTGGGGTCAGCAGTGGAACTGCATCCAGGCTGCCCAGAGCCTGCTTGGTCCCTGGGCTTCTCCCTGAAACAGCATCAAATGTCGTGGCTGCTACAACAGCATTAGCAGCCCCTCAGACAAGCTCGAGTGTGTTCAGAAGAGTAGAGTTTCACAGCAGGCGGCTCATGGATGGAAAGTCAGCATTAGCAGCAAGTAGCTGAGGTAGGGACGTGTAAACCTCCCAGGGGGACAGGGACCTGTGCACTGAGCCTTCGGGGTTTGTATTTTTAGTAGAGCCAGGGTTTCACCATGTTGGCCAGGCTGGTCTTGAACTCCTAAGTGACAGAGTGAATGAGACATGTAGGGGTATCCCCAGGAAGGTGGGCAGAGGTCGGGTAAGGTGGAGCTGGGTTCCCGCCTGGGACCTGTGAAGTGGTCACAGGTACAACTGTGAATTCTGGCTTTCTTCACAGGACTCCTGGAACCTCACAGCTTGGAAACAATGGGGTCTCTGCTGCATGAAAGCAAGAGGTGGCAGCCGCGTGAGCCCACATGCCCTGGGAGGACCCACCTGGGAGCTTCCGCCCAGTCACCGCGATCCATCAGCAATCCCTCATCCAAATCTGCTCTGGTCATTTCCCCCTGGGCTTTGTGCCCAGCCAAACACAATCTCAGCAGGACCTTCAGACTCCTTCCATAGGAAGAACATGGCATTCTTCTTGGAGGCTGTGAAACTACAAAGAAATATCTCACTGTATCTGCACAGGCCAAAGACTGACCCTCGAGTTGGCAACCCTGTTGACCAGCTGCCTCTGCAGGGATCCTGGGAGGGTGTGTGTGTGTCTCTGTGTGTAAGTGTGCATACTGCTGGCAGCTGATTCAGATAAGGGAAAACCTATTGGTGGAATTCAAGAAAAGCATATGACTGAGACCAATATGGGCACAGCTCTTTCTTCAACTGGTAAAGTGACCATCTGCAGCCCCAAGAAGACAGTCATCAGCCATCAGCTGGATGGCGTTTGTGTTCATGGAGAAAGGGAGGACGCTGCCTTCAAACTGAAAATAGAGGCAGACGGCTGCTCTGGGAGCCGGGACAATATCAAAGCGCTCCTTGCTGAACTCAGTGACATGAAAGGACAAAGATTGTCTTTGATTAGAACAAAATTGTTATGAAGCAGTCGGACAATGGAATTCACTTCATTCTCTGCTATGACGTAGAATAGATTTCTCTCCAGGCCAGGCACAGTGGCTCATGCCTATAATCCCAGCACTTTGGGAGGCTGAGGCAGGAGGATCACCTGAGTTTAGGAGCTCGAGACCAGCCTGGCCAACATGGCGAAAGTCCCATTGTTTCCCTGTGTTTGCAGGGTTAGTGATGATAAAGTAAGAAAATGCAGAGAGAGCTCTTTGGTAGTAGGGATATGAAAAATGCAGTCAGTTTTCTATTCCAAGCCCCATTAGAACAAAAAAGAAAAAAAAAAACTGTTTTGTTTGATGCCGCAGCTATTAGCCTCCTGTCCACCAGGGGGAGCCGTCTGCAGAAACTAATCATCAGTTCTCCCACTGGAGTGTTTTTGGAACTCTTTTCTGCTCCACCCGGCCCTCCCGCAGTGGGGTAGGAGCCCGTTGTTTGTACTTTTTGAGACCGAATCTCACTCTGTCTCCAGGCTGGAGGGCAGTGGCACAATCTCTGCTCACTGCAACCTCTGCCTCCCAGGTTCAAGCGATTCGTCTGCCTCAGTCTCTCGAGTAGCTGGGACTACAGGCGCCCGCCACCACACGTGGCTAATTTTTATATTTTTAGTAGAGATGAGGTTTCACTATGTTAGGCTGGTCTCGAACTCCTGACCTCATGATCCACCTGCCTGGGTCTCCCAAAATGCTGGGATTACAGGCGTAAGCCACCACGCCTGGCTGGGACCCAGTTTTGGGGGAGATTTTGGAGCCAGCTCCACTTGATCCTGGACCACTGCATTGTTAGGTACCCTGTTAATGGCTTATACGACCAGGAGCTCTGCTGTTTTCAACTCTAAACCGGGAGCCAGCAACCTTTTTCTATAGAGGGCAAGAAAGTAAACATTTTAGGCTTTGCAAACCATACTTTGTTTATAAAAACAGGTTACAGGCCAGATCCATCCTGCTGTCCGTTTTTGTACAGCCTTTCAGTTAAGAATGGTTTTTACATTTTTATTTACTTTTATTTACATTATTTAAACAAATTAAATAGAGATAGGGTCATATTATGTTGCCCAGGCCTCTGGCTTTTACATTTTTAAATGGCTGGTTTGAAAAAAACAGAATCTGTAACATGTGAAAATAAAATGAAACTTAAATTTGTGTCCAAAAAGAACGTTTCATTGGAATACAGCCAAGTTCATTCATTATGTATTATCTGTGGGTGCTTTTGAGTTGCAATGGAGAATTGAGTAATTGTGGCAGAGAGGATTTGACCCACACTGCCTAAAATATTTATAATCTTGCCCTTTTTTTTTGAGACAATGTCTCTCACTCTGTCGCCCAGGCTAGAGTGCAGTGGCATGATCTTGGCTCACTGCAACCTCTGCCTCTCGGGTTCAAGCGATTCTCCTGCCTCAGCCTACCAAGTAGTTGGAATTACAGGCATGTGCCAACATACCCGGCTAATTTTTTATTAATTTTTTTGGTAGAGATGGGTTTCACCACGTTGGCCAGGCTGATTGATCTCAAACTCCTGATCTCAAGTGATCTGCCTGCCCTGGCCTCTTAAAGTGCTGGGATTACAGGCGTGAGCCACTGTGCCTGGCCTGTATCTTGCCTTTTTGAAGTTTGCTAACCCTTGGTCTAGACAAAGTCAGTGGTTAAAATCACTCATGAGCTCATGTTTGCTGAGTATCTGTATAACTATTTTACAGGTACATATAAATCTTCTGTTTACTCATCTGTAAAACGGGGGTAATAGGACCGTCTCATGACAGTGTGAAGACTGAGTGACTCAGGACACGAAAAGCAGCTAGAATAGTACCTGGCATTATAAGCGCTCAAAAAATGTAAGTTCTAATTAATATAGACTTGTGAATGTATACACAAAGTCAAATAAATACAGAAAACAAAGACTCTTCCCTCCTCATTTATTTTGGAATGTGCTGGAAACAGCTTGAAACGTCCCTTTAATAGCTTCCTGGCTTCACGAGTGTTGGATGACGACAAATTCTCCTTCATAGAAGGTACAGGTGAACCAGAACCGGAGGGGCATTTGGAATCCTTCCTTCTTCAGAAAGTGCGATCTCCTCAAGACGCATGTGGTTTTCAGTAGAACTGGCCCATGTTTCTGGGGAGTGAGGTGTCTAAACCACTGTTCATCCATATTTCCTGGATTATTTGCTCCCTGCGCTCAATCCTTTCTGCGAGCTCTGCAGCTTCTATGGAACTGTAGACAGGATATGAAGTCCTATGGAACCCTGACAGTTCCCCTGGGAAGTCAGAGTCAGAGGAGTCCTCCTCCTCTTCTTCATCCTCACTGTCCTCCTCAGCCCTGTCACTTCCTGGCACCAGCTGCTCCCTCCCCAGCTGCATCTCGCGGACCTCCTTGGTGCAGGACTCTCTGATAACCAAGGCACACAATGTGAGGGCCAGGCCGATGCAGACGCTGGACACAAACAGCAGGGCAGCTCTCTCGGGGTGGGCTGTGGGAGGAAGAGAACATGTCAGGAGCTGGGAGGAGCTGGCAGACTTGACCAATGCCACGCCCCACAGAAACCAGATGTCTGCCCAAGCAGGGGTCTAATGAAGAATGCCAGCCCAGCGTCTTTGAGACTGTCCACACCACAAGGATCATATATCCCCACTGACTTTTTTTCAAAAAGTTTTTGAGCATATGGAGTCGATATATACATGCGTAGGAGAAAAACACACAGCAGAGGGGCTCCGGAGCCAGACTTGTCTGAGTTTATACTCAGATCTGCCACTAACTAGCTGTGTGACTTTGGGTAAGTTTCATAACCTTTCTGTGCCTTAGTTTCCCCATCTGTAAAACAGGGCTTATAGTATCTTTCAACACAGAGTCGTTACGGTGAAATGAGTGAATTCCTTTATTTATTTATTTTTTATAAAGATGGGATTTCACCATGTTGGTCAGGCTGGTCTTGAACTCCCGACCTCAGGTGATCTGCCCGCCTTGGCCTCCAAAGTGCTTGGATTACAGGCGTGAGCCACCACGCCCAGCCTATGAGTGAATTCCTATAAAGCTCTCAGAATACTCACTGACACATAGTAAATGCTCAATAAAGTGTTGCTATTATTAGTAACAGTAGAAATAGATCATGAAGAATTAATTTACATATGAAGTGTATATGTTGCTATTATTAGTAACAGTAGAAATAGATCATGAAGAATTCATTACGTATGAAGTGCACATGTGAACCTAAGTAATAATCAAATAGATGTTAGCAAAACTGAATTCTGTTCTTTTCCAGATTAAAAAGTAAATATAAATGTACAGTTACCCCTTCGAATCTGTGGGGGATTGGTTCCAGGACCCCTCCCCCACGCTCCCAGGATACCAAAATTCACGGATGCTTGAGTCACTTATATGAAATGGCATAGAATTTGCATACAACATAAGCACACTCTCCCCATTCCTTAAATCACTTCTGTAGTATTTGTAATAGCGAATGCAATGGAAATGCTATGTAAGTAGGAATAATGACAGGAAAAAATGTCTGTACATGTTTGATACAGATGCAACTATCCATTTTAAAAAGATACTTTCAGTTAATCCACAGATGTGAAAACCACAGACGCAGAAGGCCAACTGTAATATAAAATACAAAAATATGCTGGGTGTGGTGGCTCACGCCGATAATCCCAACATTTTGGAAGACCAAGGTGGGTGGATCGCTTGAGCTCAGGGGTTCAAGACCAGCAACATGGTGAAACTCTATGTTTACAAAAAAACAAAAACGTAAATAAAGTCTACCTGGGCATAGTGGTGCATGCTTACAGTCCCAGCTACTAGGGAAGCTGAGGTAGGAGGATCACTTGAGCCTGCGAAATCCAGATTGCATCACTGTACTCTAGCCCGGGTAACAGCCTGAGACCCTGCCTCAAAAACAAACAAACAAACAAATAAATAAAAAGAAAGAGGCTGTGTGCGGTGGCTCACGCCTGTAATCCCAGCACTTTGGGAGGCCTAGGCGGGTGGATCACGAAGTCAAGAGATCGAGACCATCCTGGTCAACATGGTGAAACCCCGTCTCTACTAAAAATACAAAAAATTAGCTGGGGATGGTGGCGCGTGCCTGTAATCCCAGCTACTCAGGAGGCTGAGGAAGGAGAATTGCCTGAACCCAGGAGGTGGAGGTTGTGGTGAGCCGAGTCGTGCCATTGCACTCCAGCCTGGGTAACAAGAGCGAAACTCCGTCTCAAAAAAAAAAAGAAAGAAAGAAAATAAAAAGGAAAAAGAAAATAAAAAAATATAAATATTTTATTGTAAAACAACAAAATATAAAAGTGAAATACATATAAATATAATACAAAGTTCTGGAAATTTTCCCTGCATCCAAATGGATTTTCTATAGAATAACAGAAATGAAATCATGTTGGTAAACGTACTTAGAGACAAAAATCATAGAAACAAAAATAATGCTAATATGTGCCATGTGTCTCAGTCTAAACCTGTAGGTATGTTTGTCTCTACATTAACTCTACGGAAAGGGCTACTTTACTTCGTTACCATCACTATCCCCGCTTATGGTTGTGTACCCCTCGGGGTGTTATCACCCCCATTCTGAGAAATTTAAGTAGCCAGGTAGTAAGTAGTTTACGTTTTATGAACCATACAGTCTCTGTTGCAAATATTCAACTCTGCTGTTGCGGTGCAAAAACAACGGCATAGCAGCCACAAAGCATGGCTGTGTGCCAATAAAACTTTATTTATAGATTTGACTCACAGGCCAGTTTGTTGATCCTGGTGATGTTCAAGCTGAGCCCCACTTAGGGGAAGTCTGTGACTGGGGTCAGTTGGCCTCTTCAAGTAGAGTCAGTCCCGGAACTCAGGACTTGAACAGTGGGCTCTCTGTGGGGTGCTGGGGTGTGCAGTAGGTACCCCTGGCATTTTCTCAGCATGTCTCAACTGAACGGGTCCTCCTCCAGGCACTTCCCTGTGATTCTAAGTGAAAAAGGGAAACTGCTGTCTTCACTACTTCTGTCCTTCCCCAGTGGTCCAGAATTGGAGCTTTTAAACTCAAGGGCTTTCAAGTTTCATGCACAGTTGAGGGAATCCAGCCTCTGTGATCTGATCAGAGAGATGGAACCGGGACAGCTTATCTTCTTGAAACCTGAAACATCCCCATTTGGCTTCCGTCACTTGCAGCTCAAGTCACTGATGTAATTAGCGGACTCAAATATGTCGTTCTTCTTGCTGTTACCTGTTAGCATAACTCATCCCTCTCTTTTAGACGTAGATGTCCTTTTTTTTTTTGAGATGGAGTCTTGCTCTGTTGTCCAGGCTGGAGTGCAGTGGCACAATCTTGGCTCACTGCAACCTCTACCTCCCAGGTTCAAGCAACTCTCCTGCCTCCGCCTCCTGAGTAACTGGGATTACAGGCGCATGCCACCATGCCCTGCTAGTTTTGAATTTTTAGTAGAGACAAGGTTTCACCATGTTGGCCAGGCTGGTCTCGAACTCCTGACCTCAGGTGATGCACCTGCCTTGGCCTCCCAAAGTGCTGGGATTACAGGCATGAGCCACTGCGCCTGGCAGACATAGATGTCTTAATGAAAAATTTATTTTGGCTGGGGGAGCGGTGGCAAGTCATGTTTGTAGTGCTCTTAATAACAATATATTTTTCCTAAGGGTCAAGATATATAGAAGATTTTGTCAAATATAGACATGGATCCTTTGTGAGAGATGTGGGGCTCTGTTCATTTCTGGGGATCGTGGCAGAATGGGAATTTGGAGACGCTGGCACTTGGAACAGTCGTTAAACAGTAATGCACAAAATGATGCCAAGATCCGAGGCACTGACCCAATGGGGCAAATCTCTCCTTCTCCCCCTGTAGATCGAAGCCTCCTCTCTCCTGACTTCACTTTCATCTTCCTCTCCCTTGAAGTCCCCTCTTATTCCCCCCTCCTGCAGCCCTCCTCTTCCCGGAAATCTCTGAGCCACTGTCCTCTGGAAACCCTCTCCTGTGGTGCTGTTAGGGCTCTCAAGGTGGGCTACAACTCAACCTCTCTGTCTTGGGAAACAAACTTTGAGCCCCACTGGCAGTGATGCCGCCAACTTCAAGGAGTGCTGTGTGTGAGGAAATGGAATCCCATCCACTTATCGTCTTTTCCAGCCACCTACGGTCAGGCCAGGGCCATCCAGCTCAAGCCTCTGAGGTGCGATGGTCATCCACGGCCCCTCCCCTCCTCTCCCAGTGGCGCTGTCATGGAGGGTCCAGGCCTCAGGGCAGACAGACTAGGGTGCAGGAATTGGCTCTGTTACCACAGTGTAATCAATTCCAGCACTTAGTTCCACGTGTGACTTGAGCTGCAAGCAAAGGAAGTCGAATGGGGACGTCTCAGGTTCCAAGAAGGGAGTAGGGTTCCACAGCTGGTGACGAGGGACTCCTTACTCTACCTCGTTTTTCATATTGTGAGGATTCTAGGTGAACTGAATTAAATTACCTGTGATGCTTAGGACACGAGACATTCTCTTCATTGGTCAGTACATAACCCTACTTTGTCTTTTTAATGAATTACTTTTTAATACTGTAATTAGCCGGGCTCAGTGGCTCATGCCTGTAATCCCAGCACTTTGGGAGGCCAAGACAGGTGGATCACCTGAGGTCAGGAGTTCGAGACCAGCCTGGCCAACATGGTGAAACCTTGTCTCTACTAAAAATACAAAAATTAGCTGGGCGTGGTGGCAGGTGCCTGTAATTGCAGCTACTCAGGAGGCTGAGAAAGGAGAATCGCTTGAACCTGGGAGGCAGAGGTTGCAGTGAGCCCAGATTGCACCACTGCACTCCAACCTGGGTGACACAGAGTGAGACTTCATCTCAAAAAAGAAAGTACTTTAATTAGCATCAGTGCTATGAATGAGCACCTGTATAGGAGTGAGGCCTTGACCACACCTGTGTCTAACCTGTGCTTCCCCACCCCCTGGCCTCCCCATCAAGGTGATTACCACCTGAATTCCATGCTTCTTACTTCCCTGCTTCCTTTTTTATATAGTTTTTGTTTTCCATCTTCATGTATTCCTAAAATTTTATTTAAAGGGTATAATGTTATAGGTAGTATTAGAGATTTGGTGTTCTTTTTTTTTTTAACTCAATATCATATCACTGTATAATGTTCCATTATCTCGACTATAATGTAGCTTATTCACCCACTTTCCTGCTGATGGGCTGGGAAGTGTTTCTTTCCCCGCTCTCCTGCTGTTGCCAGGTTTCTGCTTTTGTGGATGATCATGAACATTCTTGTAAATGTCCCTGGTCAACACCTGCAAGCGTTTCTCTCGGGTACTCCCCTAGGAGGTAATTGATGGGTTGAGGGCATGTGAGTTTCAATTTTCAGAACTACTGCCAACATGGTGTTCAAAGTGGCTGCAATGTGTGAGAAATCCTGTAGTCCTCATCTTCTCCAGCACTTGGCTCACACAGACTCTTACATTTTTTCCAATCACGTGGGTATGGAATT